ATTAACGCTTAGTACTGCGAATTCCAAGCACATCACTCAAGCCCCTCTTTCCTCCGCGGCCAAATGGAAGCACGAGCATGGCAGTATCATGAGAAAGGCCCAGAAGACGAGAAAACTCTTCCAGGGTGGGAACCAGTTCAAAAAATGAAATTAAGTTACTAATTAGTATTAGCATAGGATAAAGCAAACTTGGTGCTTTTATGTATGGGAATTCTTGCAAAATTTGCTCCTAACTCATCCACTTTTACCAGAAGTTGATAACTTTTTTGTTGATCTTTTGAAATTAAAAAGATTGAATGCGAAATACGGTGAAGTAGCTCTGGTGGTGGAACGACTCATTTGATGGGTACCCCAATGGTTCTCATAAGTCGCGATATCTGCGATATTTTGATGTATTATTCTTTAGGTAAACACATTAAGGAAACAGCGTTGTATATGATTGTTTTATCATAGAAGATAACTGAATTCATTTAGAGTACATGTATAAATTGTCTAATTCTATGCATTTTGAAAGCAAAGCATAATTTTCTATTACGTCCGTAAATGGATTAAATAGCACTTGATCATATTAAAAAAAAATGACACTGCTGGAAAGAACAACAATTTATAATGATGCAGTGGAAACTCAGACAGAACTTTGACAATATTAATGATGCAGTAATATGCATACACCTTTTCAAAATCCAACCTTAATTTACTAATCTACACTCCATTTGTAGATTCCTAGATATTAGCGAAGAAAATATTGGTAAATCCACAGGCAGCATCCCATTAATCACAAAATTTTAAAGTCTAAATCTTGTAATAAACATGTTAAAATCAAATACAAGGTAATCTTTGGAAGTCTTAATCTAATTAGAGTAACCAAGCCTCAGCTCCAAGTCCAAATCCTCCTTTGCATGTTGTACTAAAACCCTGTTCAAATCCAGCTTAACTATCTCTTTTGCATTACAAATCCTAGGATCATTGCTTCTTGCAAATCCCACAAGATCGTCGACACGAAGCAAGGCTCCTTTCTTCTGATTCTTGCCCGTATCCACTTCTAGAAGACTTGCAACGCTATCTCGCTGCCAATGCTGATCAGTGGCTGGAGCTGGTGTTGAATAAAAATCAGTAAGAGAGGAATTACATTTCACATTATAAGGTAAAAACCTAGTTGCAGATGATGTTGAAGAAAAACTAGGGTTGGGGTTAGAATTGGCGTTGGGGTTTGAGTTTGGAGAATCCCATGAAGGAGATCTCATCCTAGCCCTATCTCTTCTATGAACATTCATATGACCCCCAAGAGCCTGTGCAGATTTGAACTCTTTCTTGCAAAAGCTGCATTTGTAGTTCCTTTGAGGCCATGAAAATCCACATGTAAGATCTTTCTCAAAACTTAAATTTACAGTATCCAGTTTTCCCTTAAATCTCTCACAATCCCACTTCAACTTCTCCATAAATATCTCTTCAAAACAAGAAGAAAAATTAAGGAAAAGAAAAGCCCAGTTCAGAAGGAAAAACAAATACTACTCCCTTTTCAGATAGGAAGCAAAAAATGACGATTTCTACAAAAAAGTGATTATGTGAAGGGTTGCTTTATAGGGAAGTTGGAGTCAAGTTTGTAAAATGTGTGCGTTGTATAAGTGTTACCGTTCAGCTGTAACTTGTATATTACCAAAATTGGAGATTGCTTAATCAGTAAGTGGGGTTCCATTTTTGCCAACTGCGGGTATAATCTAGTGGATGGAATTATTAAGTAGCTTTTGACAACCCCTGCGGGGACACAATTTTATTGTTGTGACAGATGCATTAACTTTTTCAAAGAAGGATTTGAATGGCCTCACCTTTTAAGATAGTGTTTGACATTGATGACGAAATTCAGTTTTACGTCTTCAACAAATTTAGAATCGACTATCTAAATCTTTATTTATGGTTTCATTCAGTCCATTTTAAGTCTACATAAAAATTCGAAACAACGAAATACAATCACAAGCCACTTTATTGTGATATATACACCATTCTTAAAAATAAAAATCTTTATAAACATCTGTAAAACATATTTCAACCATTTAAGCATAGTGTAGGAGATTTTACATCGATAATGTGTATATTATATTCATCAAGAACATGCCGTTAATATGCGTCAACTCGAAATATCATTCGACTTACCAAAATCTGATTTGAGAAGACAAATTAGTGAATTACTGACCTCGAATATATGAATATGGATTCATCACTTCACAATCTTGAACACATCTCTCTTTAATTCAAACATTTAAATAAAACATAAATGAATTAACCAAATTCTGAAATCAAGCAAAAA